GCGACTCTGAGCAAGGTAGGCGCTATGCCGATGAAGGGAGTAGGCATGATCAGCTTAGGTGATCATCCTGTTTAGAAGGCCGAGTTCGGTCTGATCCGAGCAGCTTTGGCCGTGCTGTATTAGGCCGATCCGAACTTTCTGCAAGTGCCCTTTTGAGTGCCTGCCTCTGTTCGTTTTTAATTATTCTGATAATATATATCATCGAGCCTGAAGGCTATTGGCGCAATTACTTGGCAATACCCGGAATAACCCTATCTTTGGCCCAACGTCTTTTCTCGCATTATGTTGCTAGCTCTTCATAGTTGCATGAGAGCGACCTTAATTTAAATCGTTGACAACGCAACCACATGATCATGCGGAGTAACCCGCCATGTATTTTCATTCTAAGGCCTGTGTGTGGTAGTGACAATTTCAAAAAAGGTCCTTTCCGTGATGCACTATTCAGAGTCAGCTGACTTGTATTCAATCATGGATAGATAAGCATTGATACGGTCTGATATTGGATACATTTTACCGCATTTCAGGGAGCAACCGGTATTTGTTTCACAGTGAAGATGAGTCGAAGTTCAGCGCAAGCTAAGCCAAGAGACGCACCCGTCGACTATGCTCGGCCGCTCAAGGTCATCTGCATTGGTGCGGGCATGTCTGGAATTCTATGTGGCATCCGCTTTCCGCAGAAAATTCCTAATCTAGACTTAACTATCTACGAGAAGAATGATGAAGTTGGTGGTGTATGGTATGAAAACAGGTACACGGTGTCCAGCCCTCTGCAATTATTGATCAAGGTGACATTAACAAGTGGTCACATAATCTAGATATCCTGGTGTTACATGTGGTATGTAACGCGAGAGAGCCTTTTGAAAGGGACATTTTTGCTAAATACTGAACCCATGCAGATGTCCCTTCCCATTGCTTCCAGTACACATTCGCAAACAATCCAAATTGGACACATTTCTTCTCCCCAGGAAAAGAAATTTGTGATTACTTCAAGACTGTTGCCGAAAAGTATCATGTGAAGAAGTTCATTCAGTTTGGCCACGTTCTTCGCTCAGCAAGATGGTTAGAAGAAAGAGCTCAATGGGAAGTAAAGGTTTTACGTCTTCGTGACCAGTTGGTAAGCAGTGAAGGGATACCCTGATTTAGAATTTCTCGATAATAATGTAGCTTCAGGAATTTTCTGATTATTGTGATGTATTCATCAAGGCTACAGGCAATCTTAACAAATGGACCTGGCCGAACTTGCCCGGTATACAGAATTTCAAGGGCGATCTGATTCACTCGGCTTGTTGGGATGAATCTTTTGACCCGACTGGCAAGCGTGTGGCAGTCGTCGGCTATGGAGCTACTGCAGTTCAACTTGTTCCAGCAATTCTCCCGCAGGTCAAATACATGGATCACTATGTTAGAGGTCAAGCGTGGATCTCACCAGCGGGATACGTCGCTGCGGATCCTAGAAAAGCTGATTCTGATGTCCATAATTGTGAGCCTCTATCTCTTTCATTTTCTTCCGCAAAAAAAAAAAGGAGTTGACCTTCGTTGACCAGTTGAGCACCCTCCGGAGGAGCGAGAAAAGTTTGCGGAGGATCCGAGATTATATTTACAATATAGACATACAGTCGAGAATTACGTCAACAAGGCTCAGATGATTCATTGGGTGGGTTCCGATGTGAACAAAGCTTTCTCAAAAGCTACGGAAGAGTCCATGGCTCGTAGACTCTCACGAAAACCCGAGATCTTCCAACATCTCAGACCTACATATCCTGTCGCCTGCCGTCGTGTCTCTCCAGGACCAAGATACCTGGAGTGCTTGGTGGAGGATAAGCTAAACTTTATCCCGAAAGGAGTGAACAGAGTGACAGAAAGAGGCATCGAAGATGAAGACGGGACTTTGAGAGAGATTGACGCAATCGTTTGCGCAACTGGGTTTGACACGTAAGTTGTTCTCTAGCAATGGCTCTCGTTCCATGAGCGTTCCTCATAAGTAATGTCATTAGATCACTGAGACTAACCGAAACACCCATTTACGGCCTCAATGGAGAATCACTAGATGACTTGTGGCTTTCGGAGCCTGGAGCGTACATGTCTATCTGTCCACCAAAAATGCCTAATATGTTCTTATTCGTCGGACCGAACGGTGCGCCGGGCGCCGGATCTACTATTCATATGAGTGAATGTGCCTGTGAATATATGATCAAGTGCATTCAAAAGATCCAGCGAGAAAACCTTCGATGGATGATGGCTAAGTGAGCACCCCATCCTCATTGAATACATTTCAATCTTATACATGGTATTAGAGAATCAGCCACAAAGGCCTTCATGCGTGAGGTTGACCGTTACTTTGCCAAGACCACCTTCGCTTTCACTGTAGGTACAACATCAAAGCTTCGGCGTTTCCTCATCTCTAATAATCCTTTAGTGCAATAATTGGGCAAAGAGGACATCAAACGGAAGGATGTTAGGCTACTGGCCTGGAGCCGCTGTCCATCAAAGAGCAACGCTAGAGAATGTTCGATTTGAGGATTTTGAGTATTCTTCTTTTGAGGAGAACAGCGAGGATTGCCTTGCATGGATGGGAAATGGAAGGATTCAAGCAGCGGAGAATGACACCTCAACTACCGGATACCTTGACGAAGTCGATATTCCCCCGGTCCCGAATGCCACTCCTTTGACGCCTTTATCATCTCATACAGAAAGTGATTTCGTGCTGTTTTCTAAATAGACCAGTAACTTGTTCCATAAGTACCTTCAGATAGCAGCATAGTTTACAGGAAAGCAGAACAATATAACGAGCTGATTGTGAACTTTATTTGCTAATATGCTGGGTGCTCGCGAATTCTCTATTTTTAGTTTTGGGGATCACTTGATAGCTCCTGTCTTCTAAACGGAAGAAAGGCTATAATTCGTCAATAAACCAAACAGTGATCACATCCAATCACCAGCGAAGCCGCCAAGTATAGAGCTGCAAGAAGGCATTTCTCATGTGCAAAACACCTTTATATCTTGTGATCTCTGGGTCATTGATTAGCTTCAGTAACATTGTTTCGCAAAATTGATAACATTTGAATCGACATCGTATTATTTATTCTTCTGATCTATTTTCTAGTATTTTCTCGTTACCCCTGAGTGCCCCAATGTCGTGTCGAACCTCTGCGGGAGTACCTGCTCGTTGATCATTTCTCTCTCGCCAACACTTTCCCCACTTGATGGTAGCCATTGTTCCCAGCGTACAAATGACTATGAACAGAATACTTATTGTATTCGCCCACCCAACGCCAATGCTCTCGGTTGCTGGAAGGATGACAGCAGTTCCAACACCGGCAAAGAGGTACCGGACGAGATAATTGCCCGCCATCACCTCAGCGCCACGCCCTTGCATGACATCCAGGCAGTATGCGTTATAGCTAGGAAAGCAGAAGAGCAACGCCACACCTTGGATAAACAGTGCGATCATCACTAGAGGTATACCTCCGACTTCGCTATCCACGCCCCAAGCATATACCAAGATACAAACAGGAATAACAATCCCCATGAATGGAACACACGAGCGCAAACGATCTTCCGGGATGCGGAGCCCATTGCGTTTCTTGATCCACTTCTTGACGATGTAGTCTGCATAGCGGCCGCCTATAAAGCTCCCTGCCACATAGCCTAATCCAGGTGCAAGATAAACAGGCCTCCTTGCATTGGCGTGGTCAGGTTGAAGCGTGGATTGAGGATATATCGAATCGGTGTTAGGATTGAATACATATTCCACACAATTGCTGCTGCTGCCATACCGATGGCAATCAAGTTTGGATGGCGAAATAGCTTGCGCACTGTCCATGGGTTGATCATTGAGAACAGCAGTCTCAACATCTTCCTACCCGGTAGCCCTTTCAGATCATTGGAATTCTTATAGTGTATGGTCTCGGGGAGTATGAACATTGTACCGAGGGCACTTAACCCGGCGAGGGCTGTTTGAAGCACCAAGAACATCTTTGCCCGTACATCCACCTAAGTTCGGTGATTGGGACTCTTCATCGCTCGACACGCCTTGAATGGCCAACGTGTCATCGAATTTTCGAACAGGCATCTTGATCAGCGTCAACACCACAGTATCGCAGGTGTCCTAGGTTAGGCAATTTTAGGTAGAAAACAGATTATTGAGGTACATATTGTTCCATTTCATCGCTTCAATTTCGACTAGTACAGACCGCCTTTCGTGACAAACCAATTTGACAGCGAATAACTTATTGACATTTTCTCCGTATCACCGGTATGAGGCGAGCAAGGCCATCGTGATTGATCCGGTAGAGAGTAACATGATGATGGTACATTTCAGCCTCAACACCAGCAGACCCACAATGGGTCAACATCGGGTTGGACCGAGTACTTGCGGGGGAACCTGTGGGGCAGGGTTGGAATTATCCGAGTCCATCGCCCGTAAATCGGAGTCTACTTTGCGCTCCATCCGCTATACGGATCCGCTATACGGACGAGCATGCTGAAGTGGTTCAGATCATGGCTCAAGCATTTGGTTCCAGAGTGTGTCAACCGAAGATGCTTATTTCGATGTTCAAGGCAAGGCAACCGACCACTCTTGGCCTCCTTTATGATATGGCATAGTGGATTGAGCGGAAGAAATCACACCTCAGATAGCCCACTGAGACATGTACGTAGGGACTGTTGCATCAAAGAGATGGGCCTTATTCCTTCTGCACCATCGACTGCCAACCTCATTATGAAATACGGTTGAAGCCTCACATACTGCATTTCTCAAGAGCAGTAAAAGGCTCACACAACAAGCTATATGATGTAAGCTGCAACAATCTTGGTAGGATGAAAGAGGAAATGCTGGTGAATATAAAGCCGGAGGAGTACACATTCACAATTCATTGGTTTGATCGAAACTCTAGTGTGTTTTAGTGATGATCGATCCAGCATGAAATACGTGCCAAGCATAGCCATCAGGCTCAATGGGTATACCTAATCAAAAGAATACCTAGTATTCTCTCCATTCTTCAGAAAGCGTCATCGTCTGAAAGAGGAAATAGACAGGCATTGTTTCAATCCCCCAGTGGATAAGCGTGCAGTATCTGCCCGTAATACAGCTCCGAGTCTTTAGAAGCGAGGAATACAAAGCTGGGAGCTACCTCGCTTGGCTGACCTGGGCGTCCAAGCTGATATGTCTCACCGAATCCCTCCATCTGCTCGGCAGGTCGCGAGGCTGGTTGGAGAGGAGTGTGAACAGGGCCAGGAGCAACTGCGTTTACTCGAATGCCCTTTTCGATGAGCTGCTTAGCCAGAGATCGAGTGAAAGATGTGATGGCGCCTTTAGTGGCTGCGTAGTCAACCATGCTCTTGGTGCCTCGGAACGCAACAGTAGAGGTAGTGTTGATGATGCTGAGTGGGCGTTAGCACACTACCTCTGCAAGAACTTCTGGAGATCACTCACGATCCACCTTTCTCCATGTGCGGTACCGCATACTTGGTGACGGCAAACATTTGGAGGATATTACTTCTGAAAGTACTCTCAACCTCATCGAGATCGATCTCGGTAATATCCTGGCACATGATCTGCTTCGAGGCATTATTCACGAGGACATGAACTTTGCCAAACTTCTCAACGTGCTTCTCGATAGCCTTTCGACAGGTCTCGTTGTCCATCAAATCGCCGGGAATGAGGAGACACTCCTGGCCCTCTTTCTCTACCATCTTCTTCGTCTCCTCTGCATCATCTTGTTCCTCGGGCAGATACACAATGGTGACGTCAGATCCTTCACGCGCAAAAAGCACGGCCACCGATCGACCGATTCCAGAGCTGCAGTGTCAAGGTTAGTGAGAATACAGTCGAGACTAGCCATATGTGCACTGACTCGCCGCCGGTGATGAACGCCTTGTTACCTTTCAGCTTGCCAGCTGCCAGGTACTCATGGTGCCGGGTTTTACCCTCGAGAGCTGTAGTCTCGCTCGAGGGATTCATATCTTTCTCCAATCTGGCCTCGGTTAGCACGGCTGTGTGATTCACACGAATAATATCTACGGCAGCGTACCCTGGTAAGTTTTGTGCCTGTGGCTCCTTGACCGGATCGAAGCTCCCCTTCTCATTGCGAGACATGCTTTCAATAGTGTTTGTGTATTTCACTAATGTTAGGGCAAGTAGCTGATCGAAGTGGTGTACACTGGAAGTTTGAGACTAGCGTGAGAGTGGGACTGATCCTGCAGTTCAATATGATTGTTGAAGTTGGATGGCGATGTTTTGTTGATAAGCGTGGCATTCGTGAGATAGAGAAGCTGTGTGCAAAGTGGGTGTCATGGTGAGGGGCGTATGTATGACACAATCCAACGGTCTGAGTGGGGCATCAGGGAAAGAAGCTCCGGGCCAGTGGCAGCCGTGAAATGGAGGCTCCACTTGCCCCATGTGGTATGTCAATTGATTACCAGCCCCACACGGCCGTCTGACAGGCATCAGCCGCCGGGTCACATTTGAACCTCATTATTACTTCTAGCATAGATAGTACGGAAATATTAGACGCGGTGAGCATACAAGACTTGCCAGAGTGCTTCGACATCGTTATGCTCATCATTACAAAACAATAGTGGTGGTAATGACACGAATGATGAATGAGCCTGTAAATCACAACTTGATGGCCTACTTGCCGTACTGTTACAGCGAAACAACGAAAAGAGAAAGAAAGAAAAGGAGGAAGCAAGCACGATGCCCTTGAGAGAAGAATGTACGGCCTCTCCATATCACCCGCAGATTCTAAGGATGTTCATCAAAAAGGAACAGGAGGCTGGCCGTTTGTCGACCAATCCTTCACGACCGGCCACGAGATCTAATCAGCGTCCCGGTTACTGCGCGCCCTCCTTTCGGATTTACGGGTATTTATTTGCAACAGTGATCTTGCTTCGTGGATTTCAAAACGAAGCATCGTGTCGGGGGAGAGAGTTGGGTTAGTCTTACCGATTAGTACAAACGTAGTCGAGTATCGCCTCAACCACTTCTCTTACCGCTATTGACTTTTTACTATCATTTAACACCCTTACGCGATCTTGGTCGTCTTCTCGCGCTCTTTTCATGAAGCGCTTTTTGCCTTCCAGCTGGTACACACCCCCAATGACCTACGGCAAGCTGAGGCTCCCGTGCTGGGGTACACTGTTTATACTGATGTCAATTTCACGAGTCGTCTCTCGTACAATCACATAAAGAGCACAACCTAGAACTATCAAATTATCCAAGCATAGCCTATTTTACTTTCAATTTACCTCTGAATCTATCCATTCATTAAGCCATCCAATGATCCACTCGTCTTTTAGGGACTCCAGCTCTCTAAGTGCTTTACTACCACTCAACGCCTTCTCAATCGAAAGTCTAGTCCTCAAGCCTCTACTTCCTTGATATTGCATGTCTTCGAAAAAGCCAAGCAGTTTCATAGCGGGATTTAGTCGCACGAGGTATGTCGCATCAATACCACCAGCGGTTTCGGTCTCGAGGACTTTAGTCTTCAATATCGAAATCCATTCTTGATATGGAACAACTCGCATAGATGCCGCCATCAAAGGGGAATTTGAAGATTCAAGAGTCTTTTTGATAGTTAAGATGAGAGATGACCAAGAAACTGGTCTCGGATGTACAATGTTGAAGACACACGGCCCATACCTCTCGCCTTCGACCGTGGCGTCCGAGTTCAATGCCAGCTCTACAACCACATCTGCAACTTGGTCGATTGGCACCCAGTCAATTATTTCGTCGGCAGATGTAGCTTCACCCAGGGTCGCGGGGATCGCGCCAATAAAAGCAGAGCTTGTGACTAGACTCGGTAGCCATTCGTGTCTGTTCCACCCACTTGCTGTTCGTGCTGCGCCGGCAACTTGACCGATACGGATGACGGTAGCCCTGACCCCGAGAGCTTTCGAGGCATGATCCAATATTCGCTCTGCGAGATATTTGGATTGTCCATAACCCATGGCTGCAGGAGCCGTCATATCTGTCACAATGGCTTCTGGCACGATGGACATTGGGCATGAAGAAACGCTCGAGATGGAAGAGAAAAAGAAAAGTGCGCTGTTGCATCGACTGAGCTTGGTGAAACGAACAAGAGATACGAGACCAGAAATTGAAGGACGGAAAGCAGTCATGGAGAGATTGAAGTTGACAGGCCATGCGTTGTGAACGATGTGGGTGACTTCCGAGAGGAGAGTTTGATATATATCTTCTGAAAGGCCAAAGTTGTGTCTCATGAGATCTCCAGCAAGAAACGTTACTTTGTCTGGAGGGAAGGTTATATCCAAACCACGTGCCTGATGTTTGTGAATTTGACGGTCTTTGGCATCCGAACTGCGATTGACACAATAGACATGTGACACTTCTGGCTTTGAAAGAAGATTTTCAAGAATGTATGATCCCAGGGCACCAGTCGAGCCAGTGAGTAAGAGTGTCGGGCGTTCATTACAAGAAGATGGAGCTTCTGGCCTAGAAGTGCTGGAGCCGATGGCGTCAATCTCCGCGGCGAACTCTTCTAGCATCTTAGCTAAGTCTTCAGTCGAGAAATGTCTGGCAATACTCGTTTCTCCATCTTCCATTATTGACTTTTCTAGTGCTTGAGCAAGTGCGTTTATAGAAGCATTGGAGTAGACTGTGCTAGGTGAGATCTTCGCGTTTGGGAAGCGAGCGCTGAGAGTTCTTTGTAATCTTAGCACACCTAAAGAATCCATTCCAGACTGAAAGAAGTCAAGATCATCCAAACCAAGCATGTCAGCAACTAAGTCGCGGATGATGGATTTGATGTCGTTCTGTTTCGAGTATTCCCCAACTTTGGTGTTAGCACCAATTTCTTGTTGGTACAATCTCTCGATCTCTTCTGCATACAGCTCTAAGGTCGCTTTGCGCTGCACAGTTCCTTTTCCGGCCCTCAACATAGGTTTACCCGGGTCAACAATCAGAATTTTGTCTCTCGAGACACGGGCATGAGCTGGTGCGGCTCTGTTTGCCGTTTCGACGAGTGGCCATATTCGATCAATAACTAATATTGTGCCCTCCTTGGTGAGCGGTACATCAGCGACCAGCTCTATAAGCAACGACGCCTCAATACGCTGAGAACCGATCACTAGCGCGGCTCGAACTTCGGGATGACTCATGATTTCTTCTTCAAAGGTCACTGGATTTGTCTTCTCTCCGTTGAGGAAAACAATAACGTCGTCAATGCGACTTTGGTGAGCCCACAGACCTTGTTTTGTTGGATGCGGCTTGAAGAGATCTCGCGTTGCATATTCTGTAGCCTCGGGAAAATGTGCGAACACTGGCTGAAAGCCGTCGGTCTCCGGATTGCGCACAATAACCAATTCATACAAGTCATCAAAACGATGTCGCATCTCAGACTTCAGTTTCGGATTCAGTTGCAAGTAGTTCCAGGCCTGGGAATTCTTGTAGTCGTTTTTGGTGTGGATGAGAGGCAGACTTGCGCACTCCGAGGAACCCAGTACTTGCCAGATGGGTAACTTCTCCGCCACAACGTCTCCCGATGCTTTAGGCACGCTACCACCAGTAAAGAAGAGATACTTCAGTCGGGAAGCGACCACATTCAGCAGATCGGGGTTCTTTCCCAGCTCGTCAATAACCACGGGAGGAACGAAAGCCCACTGGATGTCGGTATTATTAATAGCCTCGATGAAACTTTCTGTAGTCGGCGGCGGGCCGGGGAGAGTGTACACTGGGGTACTACCAAGATACGTAGCGACAAGAAGTGAATACGCGAGCCCTGCAATCTGGTGGAATAAGTTTTAGTTTGATGTTCAACACATGTGAAGAGGCTGGATACTAACATGGAAAGAGGGCAAAGTCATCAGGAACTTCCCAGTGTTAAAATACTGATTGATATCTGCATGACCATCCGGGGCGAGCAGCGAACAGGCCGCAACTACTCTGGATATGAAGTCGTGAGTGAACGTCAAATGCTTTGGTATTCCTGAAAACATTAGCAAAGAAATACAGATTATTATCAACGTATTACCTGTTGAGCCTGAAGTGTGTAATACGAACGCAGGTTCATTTTTGGCTTCTGTGAAAGACTTCGAATATGGATATGTTTCTCCATTCTTCATATCTAGAAGGTATTGCAGGGAAGGTAAGGTCATTGCCTGTAGATCGAGTGCTCCGAGAATTGAAGGTACACATGGTGCGTACGGCTCCGTTGCAATGAGTTTGGTGCATTGTAACTTCTCCAAAAGCGAAATATGTGCTTCCTTGCTGTTCCGTGGCGATGGCAGAAATACCTTTGGTTTGTGTCAGGCAGCTACGGAGTCTCGCAAGCCAAGTTCGAGATCTGTTTACCTTATAACCAACTTTAACTCCAGCGACCACAACGATCGAGTATCTTAGATCTTGTGGGCCAATATATGCTAATGTCTCAAAAGTACTACTTTTCCCCAGACTCTGTTCAATAAGAAATGCAGTCTGGTTAATGGCATCTTCAAATTGGAGCTTGCTGACGTCCTTGTAACCATCGGTATACTTTGGACCCACAGGTATTCGCGCAAAGAGCCCGCTGGGATCGTCTTGCGCATTTTGTGTAATTCTGTGAGGTAGCAGGATAGATAAGTCTGTGGCGGCCATTTCGGAGGTTCTGTTCGACAGCATCTGCGAGATATGTTCAATTCTCGATAGACGGGTAAAAAAAGACAGATAATGATGTCTTGACGGTGTCGGACACTCCGTGAAATGAAAGCTTCAAACCGCTCAACGGAAATCCTTAGAGTCCCGGCCATCTTCAAAAGCATGTGTGTGCCGGGTCAATCGACTAGACCCTTCACTGTGGATGCAACTAAATGCAGGTTTCAGCTGCCTTGGGCGTGACATATCAATTCCAGAATGGACTAGTCTTGTTCGATAGCATGGGCTCATCGTTTCGTAGAGAAGCTAATAATTACTAATGAGGAAGTCGATCTGTCGCCCCTTGCCCAATATGGCTGCTTAGAACGAAGCACAGTAACTGGCCTTTGCTAAATGCAAAGAGGACCCCTGCCAGGATTCGCTAGGACCTAACTCAGCACAAGCCTCCCAGACACGCTACGCACCACCTACTGATGCCATCATGACAATTATCTCGAAAGCTTCTG